GGTGGCATAAGTCAGAATTTTCAATTTTTCATTTGGTCTGTTATGGGCTAGTGTTTGATTTTTTCCATTTTGTCTACAAATACTAATTTTATCATAAACAGCTGTATTTATGCATTATTCCAAGCAGTGTTACGTCGAAACAAAATCCAGAATAAGAAAATCCCTGCCTTAAAACAAGTTCCACGAAAAATGCATCCGTTACACTTTCCTTGATTCCCAAGGTATTGACATCGCCTCTCCATTTTAAGTAGTTTATTTCAGTGTTTTAAGTCATCGGCCCACATCACATCACATAAAACATGTATTTATTAATTTGGAGCAAATCAAGGAAGTCAAGATCTGAAAGGAGGGAAGTAGTTCTTGGACAATCTACTTCCTGTATGTCTGCCAACCAGGCCAAACGTTCTCTTGCATCCTGCTTTATATCGTCTGCCAAGACGTAAAAGACCATACATGAAAAGATTCACAGTTGTCTTGTTATCATGTTTTGGTAAAAGGTTTAAGACCCTTGCAACACAATAAACTTTTATAAGCGCTGAACATCGTAGCGTTACAGGAGATAAACAAATACAAAAAGGAACGAGAGAAATCATAATATGGACGACAGATTTTTTACAAGAAAGAAGGAGCAAACCACACCTGAGCATCCGCCAACCACCCACTATTTTCGTACGTTTTTTTACTTGAGACTATTGTAGTTTTTTCATCTGAATTTTTCATACTATTATGTTCTACGTCTACGCCCCCATCAATACAGTTCATCGGCGTCTGTGGTGTAGCGGTAAGGCGCTTTGCTGTAGCACACAGAAGACCCGGATTCAATTGTTAAGACAGGAGAAAATGTTAATCAAGTAAGTCGGTATTTCGACGTGGCAACTAGTCAGCGTGACGTTATGGGGGAAGACACTTTTCAAAACTTATTTTTAAGAATTTTTTCTTCTGCTCCGTAGATTTACCATCCGTTGGGTCGTCTCAGCCAGGTATTATTTACCTCAGAATTACATAGTTCTATCTGTTCCGTACCTAGTTTTGAAAAATTTGACGTTAAAGGTTTTGAGTTTCACATCATGTCAACTTGTTTTAATGCAATTCATTGAATATTTTGAAAACGACTACAAATAACCTTACGACAGGACATTTGGTTTTTGATCTCACGGTAATAATAATTCAAAACGGCCAAAAATCTGAGGAAGCGAGGTATCAACAAATCTCTTCAACTCATCTCGGCTCTCTGCTTTTCTCAGGATGCCATGCAGTTCCATGGGAGTCTATTCTCGGATGTTATCATCCTTCCATCTCTTCTTCTGTCTGCCTCTCCTTCGTCCTCCCTGTGCAGTGCGTTGTACAATGGTTTTAGCAAGGC